AAAAAAAAAAAAAAAAAAAATCACATCCCTTGAGTGTTATTTTTCTGGACCTCCCTTCCCAACCTACCGCCTTCTCCCTCTCACTCAATTCTTTTCAACGTGGAACCACATCCGTATTTCCGGTATATCCTGTCCTACTCGTCATATCCGGGGGATGTTCGCATTCCATTCGGTTATTTTTAAAAGTTACAGTAGAGCCGTGTATTTTTCTAATATATCAGAAGGGTCATTTGGTCATCTGGTTCTGTGGATCTCACTTCCCTTCTCCTGTTGATGTGCAAGAGTTTCTGGCGCAACATGTGGCTAGGCGGAATGAGATGACAACTATGTCGCCTAAGAAAAGGAAGCATGCCACAAAATGACGTCATACTCGTTCATGATGATTTTCAAAGTGTTCGAAGGCAGATAAATTACAGAAATTTTCCGCCGAAGCTCAATTATGAAATAACTGAAGAATGGAGCAAGTTACATTGCTACACGTTACAAATCAAACTTACATTCACGAAGATCAAGAGAAATGCTTTCTACGATGTAGCCCAGAATCTTCGTCTTCAAACCTTCTGTAAAGAGACCTAAAAATTACGGTATATAAATGTATATATTTTACCTGTGCCTTCATAAGGGTGTCAAAACTTGGTCTCTCAGGTGAAGACTATTTAAACAAGAAGTTTTAATCGCCTACTTTCCTTTCATACTACACGGACCGCATAGAAAATGACCTGTCCAATAATTCTGCTGTTGCATGTATTCATTGCCGTAGGAACGTGTGTACCGAGCCGTTGCCTAGCAAAGATAAGGGGATACAGATAGAGACACAGACTCATAAGAGGGATTTATGAAATACGCCAATGAGATTGGTTCAGGCATTCAAAAGTTGGTAAAGGGGGATACACAGACAGCAAGGTGATCTCATAAGCCTAATTTTACTTCTTTTTTTTTTCAAAACAAGGAAAGTACGCTATAAATTTAGTTTTTTTCGAGAAAATTCTGTTTGCATCTAAGAAGTAATAAGAAACCGTATGCAATTACATAATGAGGGGCTTCATTATTTATTCTCTTCAACTGATATTTGTAGAGAAATTAGATCAAGGAGGGAACTCGTGAGAGAGAAGAGAATCGGATATACTTCAGCCGGAGGACCTGAAGAGAAGAGTAACGGATATACTACTTCAGCCGGAGGACCTGAAGAGAAGAGTAACGGATATACTGCTTCAGCAGGAGGACCTGAAGAGAAGAGTAACGGATATACTACTCCAGCCGGAGGACCTGAAGAGAAGAGAAACGGATATACTACTTCAGCCGGAGGACCTGAAGAGAAGAGAAACGGATATACTGCTTCAGCCGGAGGACCTGAAGAGAAGAGACAATTTTGGACAATTAGCTGTCGATGAAAAATATAAGTTCCCGGAAGAATTAAATGGCTACCTCCGTTGTTACGACAAGGACCACACAGAAAACGATTCGTACAACAATTCTGCTATTGTCGCATGCGTATTCGTTGCCGAAAGAGTTCAGTTATGGTTGCCGGTGTCTTGGCCAAGATTCGAACTGCGGACCTCCTGAATCCAAGTCTGTAGAGCGTTATTGATTGACTAACCTTTTCGGACTAGGAGATTCCGTGATCAAATCTCAGTACGAATGTTTCCCGTGATTTTCCTCAGCCCCTAAACACAGTACTGAGCTATTTTAAAGTAGGATATGGCTGTTTTCTTCAATTACAATTAATCAGGCGGAATCATAATACAGTTCCGCGCTATAATTAAAATATGTGATTGAGAAAGCTTCGTTATATAAATAAAAAAATCAATGAGGATCCATCGTAACACTGACCTCTGTCTGCAATAACTCTCGAAACGAAAGTACGGGACGTTGAACCACGAGACAGAAGCCATTCAGACACCTCGCGAGGTAAAACAAAAGGATTCGGAAGGCCTTGCAATTGTGTGACCATTAAGCAAGTTACTCCTTTATTACAGATTAGAATTCGGGAGCAGCGAACATTTCACAGTTACTGTATAGTAATTGTGATTTATACGGTCAGGTTTCACAGAATATCCACGCAGGACAAAGAATCGTGGTACACTAGAATTCTTACTGTGGGATTTCCGAAAATCAGTCATCCGAAACAATATAGAAGTAAAGAAACAGAACCAAGGGTAATGAATACAGATAAGTGGACTAGTGTTCGTAAGCTGAAGTAATTAGTCTCTATGTATTTATTTCAGATGATGCCTGTATCCTGACGCGCGTGGACGCTATCATCATGACAAAAGACGGGCAAAATGGTGAGTGATTTCATTTCTAACGCATTCCAAGTAATATTTACTTCACTTTAAGGAGACATTAATTTCATTCAGTTCAATAAATTTCATTCCCTAGAATACATTTTATTTATTTCGACAAATTCCAGTGCCCATTTCATTTGAAGTGCATTTACTTCAGTCACCGCGCAGGGTAATATAGAGGTTGCAGGGGAGTCAGAATAGCGTAGTCGGTATAGTGACTGGCTTTGGGCTGGACGGTAGGGTAAGAATTCTCTCATCTCCACGTCGTTCAGACCGGTTCTAGGACCCACCCAGCCTCATATCCAATGGGCACCGGGGGGTAAAGCGACAGGGACGTGAAGCTGACCACTCACCTCCAACTAATGCCGAGGTCAAGAAAATGTGGATCTGTACATCCACTCCCCCATACGTCTTCAAGTCGTCGTGCCTAATTAGTTAAGCACAAGAACAAATTTACTTACACCCTAGAAAGGCATACAGGAAATACCCACCTCAAATAGGCGCTATCCTCACTCAGGTATTTCGTTATATTCCTAAGTACTGCCAGGTTAATATCAGGGCAGTGCCTTTAAATAAGCCACGACCGCCTCCTTCTAAATTCGAATTTGGTTACCATTCATAATAGTATCCCTGTCACATTCAGAAAAGAAATATGCTAGGAAGCTGAAACAGCGTCGTCAAATTATTTGAGAATCAGTCTTAAGGCGCATCCACATTACTCGTGCTCGTGCTCGTCGGGAGACTCGTCTGGCTTTTACTTGTGCTCTTAAATCTTCGTCCACACTACTTCAGTTTCTCGACAGGCTTCGGTGTGTGAGGATCCGTATATTTACTCGTAGTGTGTATAGGCTGTAGTCGTATTTTAATTTACTGGCCATAGTTTTTAAATTAAAATTTTAAAATTTGCTTATCTCGTGACTTGTCATATCGTCCACATTACTCGCGAGCATAGCGAGTCACACGAGCACGAGTAATGTGGACGCGCCTTTAGGGAGACTGATTGTATGAAACGGGGGCAGACTGAACCGATTCATGACATGGCCAGGGGCGGGTCTTACCAACAACGCTGAACGTTCGGGTTACGCTACCAGAATGTTGGTTTGCTCGGAGATTTTCTTTTGGGGTTATGTTGGCACCGGGCTCATAGTTCCTGTACTGCTCTGCCTATTAGAGCTTCCACGTTTCACACGCTTTCTTCTACCAAGTCTGATGAATCAAGTTTGTTAATGGCATAGACTAAATAAATAGGTCTGCTAGTTTTCTCCGATTGCAGCTTGTCTGACCTTATAACTTGTTTTCTACGTGAATCTTTCAACTGTGAAGTAACTAATCGAATGAGGTGCCAACTTTAACGGTGCCTGCTTGATCCGTGACCCTCAGATCTTGTGATATCCTCGTATCTGCAGGCAAAAGATACTCTCTTTGTGATGGGATCCTACAGAAATGAGTAGGAAATTTATTGCACGGATTGACTGATTCTTGGTTTACCTAACAACAATTTTCAATGGAATATGTTACGTTTCAGCATCCTGTTGCATTGGGACAACGTTTTAAATTGTAAAGTATTCCATCTGTAATGCAACAAAGTAAGTCCTTTCTTAAAAGTCACTAAAATATACTTAATTATATTGAATTAATAATTAATGTCATTAATTATGTACACTCATTATTTTTGGTACATATTTACGCCCCACATGGGCCATCATCAGGCAACACTTATAATTTGGGGAGACCACTGCACTATACACTTCGTCCTTAGTACCCTCAGGCACATCGTTGTTGTTGTTGTTGTTGTTGTTGTTGTTATTGTTATTGTTAATTTGTTTGGTAGGATATTTTCATCCTATCTTTTTTTTTAGTGGCCGTTTCAGCGTTCCCTTTCATTGTGTCATTCCTTTAGTTGTGTCTGTTTTAGTGCACGTGGTAGCGTAGTTGGTTGAGGCGATACGCTACAAGCCGGAAGGTCACGGGTTCTATTCCCGATGAGGTCATTGGATTCTTCAATTTACCCAATCCTCCCATCCGCATGTGCCCTGGGGTACACTCAGCTTCTAACAGAAATGAATACCAGGAATCTTCCTGACGGGTAATGGGGGCCCGGCGCGTAAGGCTGACAAACTCTCCGCCACATGTTGTTCGACTGTCTAGAGAAAAGGTGGGAGCCTCGACGTCTCACGACCCTATGGGCCTTCATGGCCTGTTACAGGGACTGCGAATCGTGAAACGGAAATTGTCGTAGCCTGTTTTCGGATGCTGCATTAGACAGTGCGGAAGATAACCTATGTGAACAAGTCATTTATAATTATCTGGGATATAATTATGAACGTAGTAGAACATATGTTCAAGCAACAGCAGTCTATTATGTTGAAGTCCTGAGTGTCGTAATTCGAACCTACCAAAAATAAGTTACAGACCAAAATTATCATATGGCAGTGAAGCACGAAGACGAATCACAGTAGCGCGAGATCTAAGTCATGAACCGTCTTCACCCGCTCGAACACTGGAATCGTGTGTTCGAATCCCATTCGAAGCATGGATGTTTGTGTGCGCGTTTATTCTGTGTTTGTGTTGTTCTGTATGTAGGTAGCGGCCTTGCGATGGGCTGATCCCCCGTCCAAGGAGTCCTACCGTCTGTGTATAGGACTAAGAAACTGAAAAAGCGGCCAAGGTCCAAAGGGCTGACTTCCATTGACAGAGAACAAAGTATGAAGGGTCTGTGAAGATAATATCATCTAAATACACTGCATCAGCTTGTATTCTTAGAGACCCTAAAATAAAGAAACATTAAAAATTTTACATAAAAAGCGATTGCGTACAAAGTATTAGAAGTTTGTAATGAAACTTCAGGAATGTACTGTCTTCGCTCGCTTGAAAACCGGGATCGTGGGTTCGAATCCCACTCAGGGAATGGATGTTTAGTTTGTGTGTGTGCGTTTTTCTGTGTTTGTCTACAGGTAGAGGCCTTGCGACGAGCTGATCACCCGCCCAAGGAGTCCTACCGAATGTGTAAGATCTAGAAAAACCGAAGTGAACGGAGAAGTTCATGGAGGTAGGCCTAGGCCCACTGAGGCTGTAGTGCCAAGGGGGGGGGGGAAAAAAAGCTTCATGTTCCATAAAGGCAGACACATTTCTTCGCTAACTGGGCGACTGTTAGCTTCTCAAGAAAGACTGTGCTATATATAGTTATTTAGTCACTCAGAGTTTAGAGAGGACACGAGAATAGGTAGCGTCGCGTAACTAATTGCCTAAGTGTAACGGTGCACTCCCGCAGATGACAATCGTGAGGAGGAAATTGACACCGCTTTCAAGTATTGCCGCTGTGCAGTCATGCGTGGTTAAGAGTTACGACAAAACGAACTTGTTGTTTTCTCATCGACACTTCATGGACACTATAACTTTTTTTTCCTTTAAACCTTACTCTGGTTCTTTATACTGGAATTTTATATTGAAATAATTTCGTACAATAAATAAATCTATATTTTAATGCTAGAATCGTATGTTCTTGCATCAATTTTAACAGAAAATATAGGAAAGAAATACTGTCTATATTTCTAGTTTCTATTTACTTATAGACTTCTTGTCTGTGGTTTATTGGTCCGAGTTCCTGGCTACAGATCCAGAGGTCCCGGGTTCGATTCCCGGCGCTACAAGATATTTTGAGAAGTAGTGGATCTGGAACGGGGTCTATTCAGCCTCGTGAGGGTACTTGAGCAGCTACCTGATTGGAAAAGTAGCGGCTCCGGTCTAGAAAACAGAAATTAACGGCCGTGGAAATTCGTTGCGTTGACCACGCGACATCCTCTATCAGCTAAAGTTGACAATAACTTCGCTGACAAGCGACGGTCGCTCGGTCGGTATAGTTCGCTTGCGGACTACAGGCCACGGAGTTTGTTTTTATGCACTTCTTGTGTTAAAACAGGAATGTACATATAGTCACCTCGAAAAGCATTTTATCAAAGAAGTTCTCTAACATGTTAACAGTATCTTCGGGTTCCATAGAATGTAGAACATTTTTTGACTAGTTGAATGATTATTGGCTCCTCAAAAGTAGCCGTATTCTATTTAATCGGGTAGCTGTTTTGGTGACTGGTTAAAAGATTGGCCTCCCCTACTTTTATTAATCCCTTGCTTGGTCCCAATAAATACGATTATATAAGAGATGTACGTTATACATATATATATATATACGATATATGAAATTTCCGGAAATAAAATTTTCTGAATTAACCAAATCTTACTTTAATAAGTTGTAATTAATACCTAATAACGGCTATTAGTTTTAACAACGTTTATTGTCAATATAAACTTAAGTTTGAATCTCCATTTCCTTGATGGATTAACTAATATTGTGGCGACTGGATACGGGTTGGGCTACATTTGCACTGGGATCTATTAAATGTGAGGATTAGGCCGCGCCATAGCTCAAGCGGTTAGTCGCTGGTTTCCCACCCCGGCGGCCCGGGTTCGATCCCCGGTCTGGTCAAGTGGGATTTGTGGTGGACAAAGTGCCGCTGGAGCGGGTTTTCTCCGAGTACTTCGGTTTCTCCTGCCAATCTTAATTCCACCAATTGCTCCACAATCACCCTCACCTATCATCTGGGGCTGGTACAATAGGCCAGAAGTGGCCGCAGTACAAGGGCCTTAGTCCCACCCCACTAGCAATTAAGAAAAAAAACTGAGGGTGAGATTTTCTTCTTTCACTTTCTTCTTGCTTCTGTTGCCCGTCCCAGTGGATATACGCGTATGCTCGGGCTTAAACCGGCCGGAGTTGAAACTAACTGTTATGCGTTTACTTCAACTCCTCAGTTCTTCTTCTTGATGTGATGCTTAAAATGAGACTAGCAACTCTGAATTTCCATTAGATTCCAAGTAGCATGAAAATAGCCAATTAAGTATACCGGTGTTGGGGCAACCGCGCAGACGACAGGAAGCTAGTCTTTGAGACGGAACAGGCTAATAAAAGCCTACCTTGAAGAAGACGATGATGACAAGTATAGGAG